CCAGCATCCCTGGTGATGAATGAAGTACCTCCTCAGTACCGGAGGGTACAGGTAGCCCGTGGCATATGGCAACAGCTTGTAATTTTCAGCATTACCGATCATGCGTGGCGGTGGCAGGGTCTGACCGAGCTGCCAAACACAGAATATCAAAATCACAAATACGCCAGTGGTGGGGAAACACACACCTATATTTCATGCAGCTGTCGTATGTATACATAGCAAGGTGCAACTGAACTGCCACACACACACACAAAATATCAAACACAAGTAGCAAGGTGCTACTGAACTGCCATACACTACATTTAAGAAAAAAGAGTACCAAGGTCCGACCAAACTCCCACACAAAAGATGAAATATCAAAATCACAACTACGGTGGTGACAGGGAAACACACACCTATATTTCATGCAGCTGTCGTATGTATACATAGCAAGGTGCAACTGAATTGCCACACACTACATTTAAAAAAAAAGAGTAGCAAGGTCCGACCAAACTCTCACACAAAAGATGAAATATCAAAATCACAACTATGCCAGTGGTGGGGAAACACACTTATATTTCATGCAGCTGTCGTATGTAGCAATGTTCAGCCAAGTGCCTTGGTTTAACTGAACTGCCACACATAAAATATCAAAAACAAGTAGCAAGGTTCAACTGAACTGCCACACACAAAATATATATTAAAAAAAAGTAGCCATATATAAAATTTTTTTTTTAAGTATCAAGGTTCAACCGAGTTGCCACACTCCAAGTATCAAAAAACACAACCACGCAAGCAACGGTAAAAAACTGAAACACACACCTATATTTCACGCAGCTGTCATATGTAGTAAAAAGGTCCAACTGAACTGCCACACACACACAAAATATCAAAAACAAGTAGCAATGTTCAGCCAAGGATCTTGGTTTAACTGAACTGCCACACATACAAAATTTAAAAAACAAGTAGCAAGATCCAACTGAACTGCCACACACTAAATATAAAAAACACGAGTACGCTGGCAACAGGGAAACTTATCGAAACACAAGCCTATATTTCACGCAGCTGTCATATGTAGCAAGGTGCAACTTAACTGCCACACACACACAAAATATCAAAAACAAGTAGCATGGTGCAACTGAACTGCCACACATATAAAATATCAAAAACAAGTAGCAGAGTCCAACCAAACTGCCATATATAAAATTTTTTTTAAAAAGTATCAAGGTTCAACCGAGTTGCCACAAAAGGTACTGAAACACAAAACGTCGGCAGAACGTACTGCGCCTGCGCAGAACCCCACATTTTTATGCTTTTCGGTGGATTTTTGGCCAACGTTTCATTGGAATTTTGCCTGTTGCAGAGGATATCTTTTCCAACATAACATTTGGAAACTACAGACGAGATGTTAATCTTATATGCGCTATTACGACCTTATATGAGACATTCTACCGAAGTGCTATGTATAATACACTACGGGTTTCGCGCAGGTGCAGTACGTTCTGCCGACGTGCTCTGAAACACAAACCAATATTTCACCGGGCTGTCTGGATGATACGATCGCTGCACCAAACGGCCGCATGTATTATAGATGGGCAGGCTGCTCCCATTACTGCCCAGCCTTTGTGCAGGGCTGACCATAGATAAAGTCATCAGCCCCTCCGCTGATAAGAACACGTTTAATGGCCCTCCATAAAAATCTGCGCCGGGCCTTTACGGTACAACCGTCATTCCGGGGGAAACCGTGATCTACGCTGGGATCTGGGGGATGAATGTCTTCCCAGACTTGGCGTCATGCGAGAGACGTATCTTCTCCGCTTTATGAAAAGACTTTGGTGTGACGAGAGTGGTTTTCTTGACTTCTTTTTAAGATTGCTTTTAGTTCTGTTTTCAGGTTGAGAATCCCTGCTTCGGGATAGTTCTGTCTGGATGATGTTTATTCGGGCTCGAAATTCATTTTTGGGAATAGGTGCACCCAACCTGAAAAATTATTAGGTGCACAAGACAATTTTTGGGTGCATCATAAAAAACAAGACCTAATTATCGATCTTACTGGTCCTCTTCTAACTTAAAGCTTGAATCTGAAATGGGAGCTAACTTCAAAATCTTACACAAGTACTACAACAAAAATTTTGTTATTTTTCTGACCCTTAGATGCCAAGAATATAATACCTACAAAAATATTTGGGTGCACTGGTGCACCCACAGAAAAAAATTGGGTGCACAGTTCCAAATTTGGGTGCACTAAGGTGCACATGGACCCAGTATTTCCAGCCCTGATTATTGCATACAGATGTTTTTACTTTTGCCTGGCCGTAATCGTAAAAGTAAATCGAACCGGGAATCCGGTGAATAAATTTGATGAATTCTGCTGTCTGTTATAAGAGTTGCTTGGGTTTTGGGGGCTTAAGTAAAGTAAAGATGCGGATCTTAAGTGCTTTGTAATGCAGAAGGTTTGACTGGTATCAGTCAGTTACCGAATACTGTACTTCTTATATATAGTGTATGTCTGACCTATAGGAAATTTTTAGAAATTACAATTTGGTTGTACATAGTCATTATGTTTTTATTTTTATGTGCAAACTGAAATAAACAAACAATAAACAAATAACACTGTCCCAAAAATAAATCTCAATTGTCCCAAAGTGAGGATGACCTGTCCCAACCTGTTTTTGGGAACTTTAACTTGATATCAACTTTATTTTATTCATGTTCACTCCCAGGCACAATATAATATAATTGCAGAGTAGACAGGAAATTATGGGAACTTTTCCGGGTCCAAAAGCCGGGACGTTTGCCTGATAAACAAAAGAAGGGCTGACATTCTGATGTTGATTATTTTTCTAAAAGCCTTATATTAGGCTAATGCTACACAAACGCACAACGCGCTACGCACCCCTGTACAATATAAACGTCGATTGACCGGCATTCATTGCGGTAAACAAACTGTGACGTAATAATGGTATAGGTCCATTTCGAGCCCTGCTCTCCCTTTCTGTAGGAAAGCATGTATCATGTCTGTAAATGCGTAGGTAGCTGCAGGGGAAAACGTGTTAATGGCATAGCCTGTAGGAAGTGTCTTCTGTGTCCCAGGTGTGGGGTAGACACAGATGTTTACCTGTGATATACACGAGGGCCTGCATGGGGGGGACCTGACAACGCTCTACGCTAAATTTTTGAGAGGCGGCTACGTATTACGCTTAATTCAAGAAGCCTCCCCCATTACGCTTTACGATAAATTCCGGGTAGCTACAACGCATTACATGAAACAAAACATGACCATGAATTACGCTCTACGCCAATTACGCTCTATGTTGAATAAGAGCAGTCCGTCTACGCTCTATGTAGATTTAAAACGGCCGATTACGCTCTACGGAAAAGGGCATGCGGACCCCATACACGGTGTCTGGCGTACCTTTACATCCTTATCACTCTTATCTCCCTGTAGGAGTTAGAAGTAGACATCACGCTGACAGCGCAGGGAGAAATGTGCCCTCGCTTAGGTGTGGAAAACCTCCCAAATCGGAATATGAATGGTTTATTCAGAATATATATATATATATATATAACATCCATGTCCATAATATCACCAGGGTCCATAATATCGCCACCTTTAGAAACAGTGTGCTTAAAGATATTTTTACTGCAACATACTTTTGGTATGCACTCCTGCACACCTCAAATGTACATACCTAGGGTGTGTTGCAGTAAAAATATCTTTAAGCACACTTTTTCTCAAGGTGGCGATATTATGGACTATGGTGATATTATGGACACAGATGTTATATATACAGTATATAAAGTGTATACAGGAAGGCTCATCATAAGGAGTATGAAGTTTTGTGTTGGCATTCCAGCTTCTAATACTATATACATTTGTACATGTACTTAGAGATATTGCATACAGTAGTAGGTAAGATGGAGTAGGATGTAGGTTATTGCTATAACTGTACCAGCCCAATTATTTCCGCTTTCTGAGCCAATTCATAAGGAATAATAGAGTTACTGTAGCTCATCTGAATGTCTAAAGTCTTGCTATGGTAAGGAACATTCCCAAAAGAATGTAGATGGACTGTGGTGCACACTGGATCGCCATCCAGACAAAATCTATCTAGAAAATGACAAAATCTTCTTGCTGGAAGAAAATACCAAATTTTGAAATCCTCTTTTTCATTGGAAAGTCTTTGAGGTCTTTCTAATCGTCATTCTACGAAATCCGCATCTTTGACATTTTCCAAATCTTGTCGTTAGGCTGAATAACCAATGAAATCCTTCAAAATCCTGTCAATTCAGTTTCTGGAAGCAGGTAGTAATTCCTAAATGCCTCTGCAGACAGGACAATTTGGAGGCATTACAGCCTGCACATCTCCTGATTCTTATTAAGTCGCTCAAATTGCGGGGAAATTCTCAACAAATTTTCCCCGCATTCTGTCTCATCATAAGTCATATATATCATCTACGGGGTAAGCTGTGGCTATAATTGGGTAGACAGGTACGTGTAGGTATTCTAGGGTTCACATCGGGCCATAGCAAGTAATTTTTATGGATGACATCAGCGCGTGCATTAATTTTTTACTAATTTTGGAAGGAAAACATACTGTTGTTTTTGCTCTGTTTCTTCTTCTTCCTCCTCTTCTTCTCCAAACAACTATGGTCAATGACCTGGACCAGAGGTCTGTTACCATGGTAACTAGTGTTGGGTTACATCATGTTGCAATCTTGTAGCAGGAGGGATTTAGACTCCTGGTACTGTGAAGTTAAACATTATGCATTTGTTTTGCAGATGTTACCTTTCTAGTTTGTTTGACTCCATGCCTTTATTGTTGTCTGCAGAATTCATGCCCCTTGAGACCAGCACGCTGTCACCTTATTAAGGATAATCTGAACTGAACTTGTTTGTTTATTTGTTTGTTTTTTTTTGTCTGCAGAGATCATGTTCCTAGAGACCAGTGCCCTGACAGGCAATTTTTGTTTTGTTTGTTTGTTTGTTTTTTGACCCTGCCCTTTCTTGTTTTCTGCAG